GATAAACTGAAGCCTATTAAAATTTTTACGGGGCCAGCCAGTGGCATAGCGGTTAAGTTCACGTGTTCAGCTTTGGCGGCCTGGGGTTTGCAGGTTCAGATCCCTGACGCGGACATACACACCGTTTATCAAGCCACGCTCTGGCGGTGTCCCATATAAAGTAGAGGAAGATGGGCACGGATGTTAGCCCAGGGCCAATCTTCCTCAGCAAAAAAGAGGAGGATTGGCAACAGATATTAGCTTAGGGCTAATCTTGCCCCTCAAAAAAAAATTTTTTTTTAAAGAGTTTATTAGAGCAAAAGTCGATTTGAATCAGGCAGTGCCAAACTGGAAGTAGTTAAGAGCACTCCACCCATAGGGACCAGGGAAAAGACTTACGTACAGAAAGTGCAGAAGCAAAGCAAGGAAATTATTTGATTGGCTATTGCTTAAAGCCTAGTTGGCTGTTTGTGAATGGTTGCCCTCAGCATTTTGATTTCATAACCTTGAGACATTTACAGGCTTAGATTTTGCTTTGCTTACATAGGATGCATGACATTAGAGCCACCTCAGCCTAATGGCCTCCTTCTTTAACTGATTTAACACTAGCAAGTCCCAAGTTGATGCTGATGCTTCTGGGGACCACTCTTTTAGAACCACTGTCCCAGATCAATGGGTCCTCTAGAAACTTCACCAATACTGTAAGCCCCAGAACGTTTGCGGGGTTTACATACCGTCTGCCAGCACAAGATATCTTACTAAGGCGTGTAGATAACACAGTAAACTTTGAACTTGCTGTTTCCAAGTATTGTTTTCACTCATATGTGGTAAAACCCCATCACCATAATATACTAAGCAGGATCAGAACATTTTAAACAGTTAAAATATGACTTTGAATTTGTGCTGGGTTAATGAAATGACCAGAAAGCACCGGTACTGCCAGCTGGCTTGGAGGTCTTAGGTCTGGCAGCACCTAAAAAACGATCTTGGTACTAGCTATCGTTGGGGCCTCGCGCCACCTGGTGGCGGTTGTTTGCTCTATCATTATATAGATTTGCTGATAATTCTGGTTCCTCTGGCTGTTATGAAAGTTGGAAAATGTAACGAGACTGTGTCAAGAAAGAAAAGGAAACAGATTTAGTAAAGCAGTCCCTATCTCGTGTATTCTGATAGTGTGTGAATAAAGCGCCTTGATTCTTCACAAATATTTAAAAAGCATTCTCATTAGGTAGCATTTTTGAATTTATATTTTAAGACAGAATATGAATACAGTACAAGTGATTCAAATTAGAAAACCTGCACAATTTGATTTGGCTAGAGCAAATAGAAAATTTCACAGAAACAATATTTGCATCAATTTATACTCCATTTTGGAAGTCTTTTCAGAAAAATTCTAGATGTGTATTTCTAAGTGAATAAGAATTGAGTTCTTTCTCTTGTTGAGGGGTTTCAGCAAGGGACCAAAGGTGAAGAACAATAAAACAGGTACCAAAGACCCCCAGACTGTAGAGTATAAAGCAAGGTCTAAGACCACCTATGAAGGAGGTGCTAAGATTTTGTGAAACTGGTTTTGCCAACCTTAGCTTATCCCCCACTGTGAAGGTGTAAAAGAGAGCTTGAAGACTGGCGAGGGGCAGATGGGGGAGTTAGCAGTGTAAAGAGTTGTAAAAAGCCTGGTGGCCTGCTGTGGGGCATCTTTCCCCTGCCGCTCGGGGAAAGGAAAGGGAGCTGCTGTCTTATTTCCACTAGCATCCTTGAGGCCACTTGTATCGCCTTGACGCTGAGGGACTTCATCAGTGATGGGGCAAGGGTTCAGATTTTCTGTGTGCCCAGTGGGCAGAGCCAACGGAGTCATCTCAAAAGTGGAGCATGAGAATTTGCATCTCTAACAGGTGCCCAGGTGATGCTGACACTACTGCTGCTGAGCAGGGGACCACGCGGAGCGCCCACTGAGGCTCTGTTCTCTAACATCCCCCTCTAGACGCGTCACAATGGGAAACATTGTACATGTGGTCATAAGCCACACCTTATTTATAAAACTGGGTAGGCAAGCACAGATGCTATGTGTATTTGTGCAGATTATCATTTTTCTATCCCAAAATCTTTTGTGAACTGGTATTGAATTTCAGCAGCCCAAATATTAAATTAAGGCCTTTTTGTAATAGCTTTGTTAAAATAAGCTTTCTATCCTTGCCTTCTCAATCCATTTCTCACTGTGAAGGCTTGCAAAACTTACTCAAACTTTGTATATAAACATGAAAATACATGGGTATGGGCGAACGTTTTAAAATACGCTGATATCCGCTGGTACCTTGTGCTGAATGTTGTCTGCAGTAATGTAATCACTCGGAAGAGGGCGCTGTGGTCTCACATTTACTTGTGTGCTGTCTCGTGAATTTCTGAATGGTCCCTGTAAGGATTTATAAAGGAGAATGGGAAAGCTTAACGGTCCCTTTACACTTCACTTCTCCTTAAAATGCTACTGAGGTTAGGAAATGACAACTTCAGAGCTTCTATTGTCTGGAACAGAAGGAGTCTTTACAAATGATTTGGTGCGTCCCTGTCAGCCTCACTGATATTTTTCTATTTGAGGCTCGTTAATTTTGAAGAATATGTTTCAGCCATTTCATCAGATTGCTCCTTAGATTTAAGGAGTCCCAATTTTTAAGGGTTTTTTTTTTTTTAAAGCTAGTTATATATTTGAGGGTTGATTTGGTATGAATACTTTGTTACTGAAGATATTCTCGTCCACTTAGAACATTTAGATTTGAACGCGTAAAGCTGCGTTTCTGAACCATCTTGGACTTTTTATTTGGTCATATGAATATTGAGGTAATTCAAGGAATATTTATTAAATCACAAAATACTGTTGCCAAATGTTAATATTCTATTCTATAACTATACAGGTTATTCAGACAAACATTACACTAAATCAGTAACAAAATGAAATTTTAAAAATCAGCCTTTCACAGATACGATGTGAAGTTCTGATAAAAGCCAAGATACACATACCAAAATCTTCTCAATACCAAAAATCTTCTCAATTCAATATTGAGTAATTAAAATAGAGTCTAGATTGAAGCAACTGTTTTTTCTCTGGCCTCATTACTAAGATTTCTCCATTATTTACTTGGAATAATGTATAAAATATAGTTTGATGAAAAAGAAAGTACAAGATGAAGTATGAATTGTTAATTAACTCTAACAGACCCCTGTAAGGAAAACTATGTGCTGACTGGCTAGTAAGAAGATAGGAATGGATGGTGTTTGTAAATAAAACATCTTTTTCTCAAAAATGTTTAAGAAGCTTTCCTGAGCATCAAGATCAGACTTTAAGTATTGTGTTCTTTTGCAAATGTAATTGTAGGATCCTAATTGGCAGACCGGAAGGGAAGTTAGGAAATATCTATTTGATTCTTTCATCAGGAAGTGCATTTGACAGCTAAGTAGCAGAAACCTAAGAAATAATGGCTTAATTAGACAGGGCTTTATTTTCCTCACATATAAGAGGTGAGCTGATGGTGATTAGGCTGAGGTCTTTCCAATTCTCAAGACTTTTTTCGAGGTTGCAAGATGACTGTTGGGACTCTTACCGTTAATTATGAATTCAGGGTAACAGAGAAGAGAAATGAAGGAAAGGGAGAAGGGGCAATTCCTGTGTCCAGAAGACAAAATCTCAATATCCCAATAGATAGCCGCTCACATCTCATAGGTGGAAAACAAACAATGTCCCCCTTTGCCAAGGAAGGTTGGAAGGCAGCTTTTAGCTGGGCACAGTGCCAGCCCTTATAGAGTTAGTCTGTTAGTAAAGGAAGAAGGGAAGAATGGTGTCCTCTTCCCAAACCTCTCTGTCACAGCCTCTGCCACAATCTGCTCTTATGAAAATGAGGCAACTGGGCACAGCGAGGTTAAACGACTTCACCCATGTCTTGAAGCTGGTGTCAGAGCCAGGACTTCATGTAACATAATGTGTGCCCTCTTGTTTTCAACTGAGTTGTGCGTGGAATTATATTGCAAAGGGGGGGTGGGGAAGGAGTGGGGTCTTCTGAAGTCCTAAAGATTTTGCTTTAGCAAAAGCATGATAGTATAAATAAAGGATCATGGATTATTGAAAGCTTGGCACATCAATTCACCTCTAATAAGATCATATTGATTTGATTCTCCTATGGAAATAATACAAAGAAAGAGAGACACAATTCCTAACACAGAAATGAAGTGATACTTGAGCTGTCAAGGCATTAAAATTTCCATTGTGAGTCTATTTCTTCAAAATGAATAATGGACACATTCCCTCATATAAACCTTAACTTACAACTATAAAAATTCTAGTCCTCTTCCTCTCCCAGACTAAGGGAACAGCCCTCAACTTTTTGAGGAGTGTGACTAAGGGACAATGATTGTGCCAGTAGTGGCAGCAGCAAATCAAGACTGCTCTAAAAGGGGCTGAACCCAATTTTCTCCCGTTGCCCAGATGATAAAATATGTTTTCTGGGAGAAGAGTTGTGAATAGATATTTACTTTCTCTCGCAGCTGTGGCTCAGACATTCAAATACTTGTCAAATATATACATTCAAGAATACAGCAGTGTATCAGGTTATATATTAATCCAAGAAGAGATTATTTATTACTGCTTATAATCTAGTACCACGAATAAATGATATGCAGAAACCTGAAAGGAAATGTTTCCTAAAAATTGTACAATATTAAAACTATCCCATTGGTGTTACAGATGAGGAAATTGCAGGCTAGCAAAACAAAAATGATTTGATTTAATTCATTTGGAGAAAATTATTGAAGGAAATGATTTTTTTCATTTTAATATAGATTTAGGTTATATATACCTCTGCAGGTTTTGATTTCATATCTTTCCAAACATGAAGACTTATTTGAATATTATATTGTCATCTGAAATTGCAAATGTTTAATGTTTTCCTTTTATTAATGGTCTGTCTGGGATAGAAAAGGGGAGTGAAATTTCCTGGTTAGAAATTCAGTTTTGTGTGATTCATTTATGCTTGCAGTGGGAGAAACTACAGATGACCACGAGCGAAAGGAGGAAAATCTTCTGCTCCGTCACGTTCCACGTAATCGCGATCACTTGTGTGGTTTGGTCCTTGTATGTATTAATAGATCGGACCGCGGAGGAAATCAAGCAAGGCAATGACAACGGTAAGAGCACGTCTTTTTCCCTTTTGGATTCTGTGATGTTACTCAGTGGTGGGGTAGGGAACTTATTTCCCCAGTTTAGGTCTTTATGTTTGATACACGAGCAAAAACCAGTATTGGCAGTTGAGTCTTCCCAATTATTGATTAATACTGTGACTATGAAGCATTGACTACAGGGGGTCCCAAGCTGAGATGTGAGATTTGTCAAGTCCATGTGACCCTTAGTAGACAGAAATATATAGATGCCATACAGCACTTTTCAGGCTTTTCAGGAACTGAATAAGGGTCACAGGTTCTGCCTTACATGAAAGGCAAACAGTTGTAAAAATAAAAGGTTTTTCATTTTATTTAATTCACCTTAATCATTGCTTCTTTTAAAACATGAATAAGATGACACTCTATTAAAGAATGTGTTATAGCTTACTAATTAGTACCGTATAATTTGATAGACTAGATTAACACTATGATTTGAAATTTTAGCCATGCTATATTTGATTGTAAAAGATGGTGTCAAGTCTACAAAGAAAGATGTTTAAAAATCATTAAGGCATATTCTAACATTTAAAATGGATATGCCATTTAAAACAAGCAAAACTAGGAAGAACAGTGGCTATAAAATACTGTTTATCTTCACTTCTGAAGGTTCACAGCCTGTTTTTCGTCGGGATCTCTATATATTTAGCACATAGCCTAAATCATAGCTGGTAAAACAGTGAGAAATATTCTCTTAACCATCCCCCACACCTGTAAAAAAATATTAAATCACTGGTGAATTTGAAAGGAGAAATCGTTCAGATGATAACATTGTAAATTTGTAGTGTTAAGAAAAATGTTATGTGCCCCCCTCAAAAAGAGAAGAAAATGAAAGAAAGAAAAAGATGAGAGGAAGTGAAGGAAAGAAGGAAGAAGGAAAAGACTTTAAGAAGGGAAAGGTTTGTGATTTCTGTACTTTGTGGGCATTCATAAAAACCTAAGGGAAGGATGTTCCATTCTCACACTTGCCCTCGTGGTGGCAGCAGTGAGCACCGCATGTGCTCTCCCGGGCATTCTAAAAGTAGAATGGGACTGGGCGAATAAAAGGGGCTGTGTGGCCTCCGCAGATGCACTGAGGACATCCTTTATCTAGTTTAAGTGGAGGGTCGGGAGGGGAGATGGTGGCGGAGTTGCAGATCCCGCTGCCTTCTTCTGAAGGAGAATGAAAACGCTGCCGTTAGAAAAACGGGTAGGGTGTTGTTTTGTTAGTTTTTTGTTTCAATGGGTTTTGTTAGTTTTTTGTTTCAATGTTAACTCATCTATAAACAATTGATGTCAAACTACATTATTTACAACTACATTATGCATTGTTCTTGAGATGCTAGTTTAAGAAATGTCTATCACATCCCTATTAAATAAGTTCCTTGAGGATAGGAACTTTTTTTTAAATCTATGTCCCCTATAGGTATAGGTACTAGCCCAAGCCAAGTAGAAAGTGGGCCATAAACACTGCAATCACATATGTATGGAAAAATGAAGAGGCATCCCCCACATCCCCACCTTGCTACACCCAACCTAAGGCCTTAGGACTAAAGTGTTTTCCTAGCAATTAAGGGCAGACCTGATAGCCAGAGACAATATTTTTAGACGTGTAACTTAGAGTTCACTATTTGAGAATCATAAATTCACCCCAATGTAGTCTCGTCCTCTCCCAGTGGCCACCCTAACTTGGCCTAGCTGTACGAGACTGCAGGGCTCCTGTTCTCTAGCCACATGTGAGGGGAAGATTAAGGGCACCTCTCCTAGACAGAACAAGAAGCAGCAATCTCATGTCCTCCATATGCAGACAGATCAGGACATCTCACATTTGTTTTTCTCAATTGCTTCTGAAACATCTGAGACAATAGTGATCATTTATCCTACAATGAATGTGGCCGTCTTAACTTCAGCCATCAAAGTCTCTCCAGAACCCAAGAAATCCATGGCCCAATACCTCCTTCCATTTATCTCTCATTCTCCCTTCTCATTCTCTAGTCCCTCTGGATATTCTTACGTCTTCAATTGTCATTTCTATGCTGATAACTCCCCAAAATTATCTCTAGCTCATACTACCTTCCAACTCATGCATCCACCTACCACCTGAACTTCTCCATTTAAAGATCTTCCAGGCAATGTAAACTTAATGTGTCCAAACTTATAATTTACTACCACTTCCTACTCTGACACCTGTGGGAAAGGCATTACTAACACCCAGGAACCAAATCCAGACATCAGCTTTAATTCCTCATCTCCTCCCACTCCCTCACTTCCAACTTAAATCACTCACCAAATCCCGTTCGTTCCGTCTGATATGCCTCTGGAATCTCTCCTTTTCTTTCCCCACTGCCACCATCCACGTGAGGACTATCATATCTTTTACCTGAAAACTGCAACAGCTTCTTAACTAGACTCTCTCCAGTTGTGCCTACCTTCCACCCATACTCAATAATATAGTTACAGCAAATTCACAAAAACACAAATATGATCATGTCCTATCCTCACTTAGCCATCACTCTTAAAATATACCCTAAACTCTTTAATAGTGGACTATGCAGCCCCCTATGACCTGGCTGTAGCCAATTATGCTGAACATTTGTTCAGCCCCTCACATCTACTTCTCAGTTTTTTCTCTACATGAACCATTTCCTCCCAGCGTCTCTTGTCCACGACCACCACACACTCACTTAAACACTCATGTATTCTCACATACCTCCCTAAGCCCTGCTCAGCCTTTGCAGTTTATCTTAAACATCACTCCCTCTAGGAAACCTAGTTCAGCTCCCTGAACTAGGAGAATTATTACTACTACAGTGGTTCTTAAATGTGGTCCCTGGACCAGCAGCATCACCTGGGCACTTGTTAGAGATGCCACTAGAGATTCTCAGCCTCTCTCCACCCCAGACCTGTGAATCAGAAATTCTGAGGGTGGAGCCCAGCGATTTGTGCTTAAGAAGCCTACAGGGGCCTCTGATGCCCTCTAAGTGTTGGGAACCATTGCTCCCATAGCATCCTGCACATACCCCGTGCCCCCAGTGGAGTTTCTAGACTACTACAAAGCCTTTTATCCCCAGAGATTTAGATTTCATTATCCCTTACATGATTCTATCATGCAGTCATGTTGAAAAGCTCTGCTCTACCATGAGACTTACCACACGTTATCGCAATTGCTCATCTAATTGTCTTCCCTCACCGAAAGACTCTGAGCTCGGAGCAGGCAGGGCCACGTTGGGCTCACTCACCAGCACATCCCTGGTGCTGAGCACTGTGTCTGGGACCTGGCAACTGGCCCCATCAGTGCTGTAGAAAGAATGGTGAAGTGTGAGTGCCTCGTACCCAAGCTTTTCCACCTTTTATCTTTCTTTTCGAATTTTTCTTCAAAATATTTTTTTCCTTTCTCAGTTCTGGGTGGATGCAGGATTTCAGACCACAGTCTCCCAATGGACTGTCACTCAGGCCCCTCAGACAGATTTCCCAACAGAAAAGCAAGATAATCAAAGGCCAGCTTCCCGCTATATATGTCACATTAGGCAGAACCTGATCCGTATTCAGCTCCTGACACCTACATAGTGTGTGACATCTATATATTTCTTCTATATATGCATATAGTCAAGGGTCAGCTTTCTACCTTATACTTTTTAAAAATTATTTTCAGTTTCTTAATGGCAAGTACAAATGAAATAACTTTTATCTTTGGTGTTCAGAGCTTCTGAATTAGGAAGCAAGCTATTTATCAAGGAGCAGTGCCCGAGGCTGTCCCTGCAGAGCCACTTGCCCAAGGGACAGCTCCTAACTTGGTTAATTTCAAATGGAAACCATAGTGGCTGTTGTAAAGGGTATCATCTCTACTTATGTTCAAACTGTATTTCAAACCTGACTTCCCAAAGTACACATTTATGGGTAGCGTGGGCATCTGTGTGAGCTGTCATTGTTTTAATCTTCCTTTCGCATTGGGACGGTGAGTGCTGATCCTGAATTTACTTTTCAAGTCATTAAAAAACTGCCTGATTTAAAAGTCAAAACATTTTACATCCATCTTCAAAACCTTCAAAAATATTTGAAGAGGAACAAATTGTCCTTCTTCAACAAGAATTGAGGTTGAATATAAAACAGCGAAATCTTTTGAACTGTAATAACAATACTGGAAGGAAACTTCATATGTTTTTAAACGGTTGTTCCTTTAGATTAAATATGCATGGTGCCCCAGATAGCTTTCTTAACTCACAGCTCACTCTTTCGAGCCTGTGATGACAGAAAAAAAAAGATAAAATACATGGTACTCGAAACTTGAACACCCTAAATTACCCGTGTCGCCAACTCTAATTCGGGAACAATTGCCCTTCCTGCCTTACCTTTACATATTCTAGAAGAGTGCTCCAGTATGCTGTTTGCATGTTGAAAACAAAACATAAAAATACAAACCAAGAAAACACAACAACGACGATTTATACTATCCATTAGACTGCAGGTGCAGATTTTAATGTTGCCCCAGAACTATTTAAATGTATATACCACAAGTGACTAGCATAACAAATTGATTTTGTTTTCATGCCTGACTCACTTGTGAGCCTCTAAACTATCTCTGAGGCGGGGGCCATGCTTCATTACCCAGAAAGCACTGGGTATTAGAGGCTCAAAACATTTTGCTGGCTGTGGCTGAGTCCAGCAGATCAGAACTGTGGTTGTTAACATCTGCTTAGAGTATGTGTTAGAAATTACTGTCTTGCAATCTATATAATATTTTCCCTTTCAGCAGTGTTATTTAAACATCCCTTTTGAATGTGCTGTTATTGTTAACAACCGAAATATAATGAACACTGACTTGGGCTACTTGTCAGAAGGCCAGGGTTCTAGCTCTGCCTTGGTCAGTGGCTAGTTATTGTAAATAAAATAATCACTCTGAAGCTCAATTTCCTATTTGTAAAACTAAATTGGACTGAATACTCTCCAAAGGTTCTTTCTATGATTCATTTTTCAAAGACACCATGAACTTGACCTTACATGAGACAAATTGAAACGTGTTTATATAAATACTGCACACAGTATCATAGATGTTTACTCACAGTGAATATTAGCATTAAAAAAAGTTACGGAAAAGGTTATAAATATGTGAAACAGCTTTTTTAAAAAAATAGTTTATCCAGCAGTAACCAGGGTGAAAGTAAAGGAGAAAACCATCTCCCCAGCCCCACCACTCACCTTATACAAATACATTTTGTAGCACTGCATAACCTAAGCACTAGCCAAAAATATTCCAACTTAGCAATGAGATGTTCTTTCTAAATATACATTGTCACTGCAGCTGTTAAATGAGGCAGGTTCTCTTCTTCTGTTTGGGGATTTTAGAAAGCTCTTTAGACACACTCCAGGTGTCTCCGGTCACATGATCTGCTACATAAGATATGCAGAATACTCCCAGAATTTGAATTTAGAAGCTGGAAGAGGGGCCGGCCCCGTGGTGTAGCAGTTAAGTGCACACGCTCCGCTGCTGGTGGCCGGGTTTCGGATCCCAGGTGCGCACTGATGCACCGCTTGTCAGGCCATGCTGTGGCGGCATCCCATATAAAGTGGAAGAAGATGGGCACAGATGTTAGCCCAGGGCCAGTCTTCCTCAGCAAGAAAAGAGGAAGATTGGCATGGATGTTAGCTCAGGGCTGATCTTCCTCACCAAAAAAAAAAAAAAAAAAAAAAAAAGGCTGGAAGAGACCTTAGACAGCACTGTTTTAACGATAAGGAAATAAGTAATTTGCCTGATCTCCAACTGTGTTATAAACAAACGCCCACTGGGGACCTTGTGGTTTACCCAATTTGACTTAAGGAGAAAACAGAGAGGCAAGATGTTACAGGTGACCTACATGTCTGCCTCCAGTGGAGAGCGACGGGGACCCTATTCTATTACCAAGGAAATACATTTCCGAGAAACAGTATTGCTGCAAAGTAAATGAGTCTGAAAGGGGCCAGTGGACACATCCCAGCTGACAAGCCATTGTCGTTGTGGTCTAAACGTTTGGCATTAATATTTCCTAAAAAGTACAATATACACAGTTACCACTGCAGCATTTCAGGACCTCTTAATATTTGGTGAGATTTCTGAGCCCTTCCCCATGGAGGGAATTACAATTGCAAGGGATGCGCAGGGGCACAGGGTGAGGCTATGTAGTGCTGGGGCTAGCACTAAATGCTGGTGGCCTGGCTGGCAGCTAAGCGGACTGTCTCCTCTCCTGGGTTCTGGAGGTTTTCATTACCTAGGGTCCATGTGGGACATCCAAAGGTTGAAGTCCAATGAAGTTAGAAATGTCTTAGTTGTTAGCACCAGTGAAAGCTTTGCTCTTAATCTACAATTCAATCAGCTAAAGATGTGTAGCGTTCAAATCACTCAGATAACAACAAAAACAACATTTATATAGCACTTTCTATGTGTCAAGAACTATTAATTCCTTTAATCCACACTAACAACCCTATGAGGCAGATATTATCAACACTTCCATTTTTAAGTGATGTATCACTTACTTTGTGCTGTATAACAAACCATCCCAAAACTCAGTGACTTAAAACCACAACCATTTATTTCATTCCCAATTCTGTAGGTCAGTTGGGCATTTCTTCTGGCCTGGGCCAAATTAGCTAGTCTCTGCAGGGGTCCCTCATGTGTCTGCACAGCTGGCGTATCAGCTGGCTGCTGTGTAGTCAAGAATGGCCTCCTGTACGTGTCTGGCAGTGGGCATGCTATTGGCCGGATGGCAGGAGCAACTGAGCTATGTATTTTTCAGCATCTAGTCTGTTGGCCCTGCCCCCTTCACACGGCGGTTGCAGTATTTAAAAGAGCAGCAAGAGAGCGCAAACCACAATATGTGCACAGTGTTGAAGTTTCTGTTGTCATATTTCCTGTTGTCCTATTGGCCAGAGCAAGTCACATGGCCAAGGCCACTGTCAATAAGCGGGGGGATACCTGAGGACTTGGTTACAGGGAGGCATAAGCCAGTTGGGGGCCATTACTGCAACAAGCTACCAGGGATAAGAAAACTGAGGGCAAAAAGAAAACCAGATAACAGGCCCAACACCTCAAAGAACTGAAATAGCTACCTGAATTAGGATGGATAAAGATGTCAAGACTGAATTAGCTGATTCTTAGGAATAAAACCCCTAACCCTTAAGAATGTGTTCCAGTTTTGCACAGGGATACAGCCCTTGAGCAGCCATTAACCATAATAAGGGAAATCCTATTAGGGTTTGGACTGCAAAGAAACTGAATAAAAGTCTGAATCATTTGGGATTTGGGCATTTCTTAGCCAGGAAGGAAGGGGTCTCTGGGAGTGAAGATGAGGAAATAGTGACTGTAAAGGAGATGACAGAGACGGTTGGTTGCAGTGGTCCTGTTTATCGATAAACTCTAGTCTCAGGTTCTGAGGGGAAAATGCCCTTGGATAGCCCCAAACTATTTCTCCTGACCCAATTCCGATAGAGAAAGGGGTGACGAAGTTATGAGAGATATTTTTATGTGAAAAAATAATTTAAAAATTTTACTCTTTCATTCATTTTTACCTTTTCATTCAAATTCTATAAATACAGTTACTTTTACCTGGTCACCCCAGTTTCCCTCGCTGGCTTGCTAGAAAAACCTTCCCAGATTCAGACTCCCAAGAGCCTAGGATGAGCTGAAAGGTCCATCTGCTTTTCTTTGTCTAAAGTGCTTTCACCGGCTCTGTAAATATAAGTTTCCCTACAGATTGTGGGCTGATTTCTGCGGTTCTGGTAGCACCACACTTTTAGGCAGATGTAATGTAGCATTTTGATTCATCTAACTCTAATTTGTGAAGTCTTCAATATCATATCCCAGGACAAATCTACATATGGTCTTAGGCCTTTCCTGGAAAACCTATTAGCATGTTGATTGTTTTGGGACGGCATGGAAGATGTTTGTAGCCCTCAAGGACCACATCACATATATACAATTATAGACAGGAGGCCTGGGAGAATTTAAGAAGCATATATTGAGACTGCTTGAGAATTTATTGCCCATTCTTATGGGATTGGCATGATGATATGGAAAGTGAATGAATCAATTAAAATTATCTATTATGAAGGACAAGAGAATATTCCCATTTCTGTAGAAAATGGTGGTGGATAGAATATCTGCTCCTCCAGAATTTCCAAGCAATGTTTCCCACTAATACTTAGGAGGTAGGGATGGGCAGTTTATTCCTAAACCCACAGAAACTGCTCAAGAAAGATTCAAAGCACAAAGGCAGAAGTATAGATAGATCCTTGGGCTTCAGAGAAATGAACAGATGGTTGAATTGCCTGAAGTTGGGTTTTTCAAATTCCTCTTTCAGACTGGAAAGTAGAGATAACTTGGTGTTCTTGGCATTTCCAAGTGCAGGCTCCAGCTTCAAATGTATATTAGTGAGGACAAAGAATTCCTGGCATTACACAAAGGATTCTCCACGAGCAAGACTTTGTGCCTTCCCTTTACCACCCCCTCCCCACCCACACTGTGTATATGCTTTCTTTTTTACAGAAGACAGAACCAACTGGTCCAACAAAATAGAGTATGAAGACAGTTTGCTAGGTCTCAATAAAAGGCGGTAAACACATCTTACCAATGAAAATATTCTTGAAAAATCCATTTGGCCCCATTTCAGCATTTAGTGTCTGTTTTGCTTCCAAAAGCATAAAACAAATGTCACTATTACAAAACATAGGTAGGATATTTCTTAGAACTCTATCACTGTCATAAGTAAAAGTAAATAAAACTCAAAGTAGAATCATAGACTCTCTCATAAACTGTTTCTCACCAGCCCCTCCTGGTCCACCATACTGAGCCATACTCTTTTACTTGACAGCCTTGCACATGAATGCAGGCAGCTATAGTTCCCCCACACCATCGTGGCGTTGGCAAGATGTGGACTCTTGACCATTGCATATTTAACATTCATAATTATGCGTGGCCTAAATACTGTTGCAGTTACAGAAACTCTTGTGAAATAGTTTTAAAAACTGTTTGTGAAAGAAAGCTAATTTCTAGTTATGGTGATGGAAATTAAGAAAAAATATTGATGTCTAAGAAAGTGATGGTTCTCAATGACAAAATATGATTAATGAAACAGCTAGCTAAAATCCTAAATCTTAGGATATCTGTACTCAGGAATTCTCTTTCTCTCTCTCTGGTGAGATGTAGCAGCTTCTTTCTTTCTCATTTTTTTTTTTTAATTTTTAAGGAAATGAGGGTGGTGAGGGGACCTGTGTGTACAATCCAATACAGGTACCTATATACTGATATATACGTATCAGTATATAAAGATTTAGTCATAAGGAATAAATGTTGAACTAAGTATCAAAAAAATCTAATGTCATATGTGATAATCACAGTAGGAACTTGATGCTAAAAGGAGAAATAGGACAGATCATTACAGTGGTAAGTCAGAGAATGTCTTCATATATAATTTTAAGAGTACTTTCAGAATATTTGAAAGCAATTAAGTGAATTCAGGTTATAATTCTTACTAGTTAACAATGTATTCTTTATCCTCAAAATTTAGCAGGCAAGCATGGTCTTTTGAAGGAGCCTTAGAAAAAAATTACCAAATCCATTCAGGACAACTTGGTGATACCATTCTCTTTTTATTTCAAAGGTGTCCTTGAGTGGCCGTTTTGGACAAAACTGGTTGTGGTGGCCATTGGCTTCACAGGAGGCCTCGTCTTCATGTACGTACAGTGTAAAGTCTACGTTCAGTTGTGGCGCAGGCTGAAGGCCTACAACCGTGTGATCTTTGTGCAGAATTGCCCAGACACTGCCAAAAAACTGGAGAAGAACTTCTCGTGTAACGTAAACACGGACATCAAGGATGCTGTGGTAGTGCCTGTATTACAGACGGGTACAAATTCACTGCCATCTGCAGAGGGCGGCCCCCCTGAGGTCATACCAGTGTGATGGAACCAGTTGGGAGGTTCTTCACAGAAGAGTATCTTTCTAGCCCTCAGTCACTACAAATGACAGAAGTGATCCTGAATTATTCACTCTCTTTATCTTCTCCTCTTTCGCCTACTGATTCGTTTTTCCTTACTTTGCTCAACAAGGAAAAGAGGAAAACAAACACCAAATGACCAGGATCCCATGAAGCAGTCTAAAGTGTGATATGGAAATGTGAAACGTTTGCTAGAGAATGATTTCCAAGACAGTTAAGAACCACTGGGGCAAGGAATGTTTTTAGGCAATGATGAAAGACTAAAGGACACGTGCGTCCTCACAGTAGCAGGGGGAAGTTCAAGAACACAGACTTGAATTGCAATGTGTAGTTCATCTAGGGCCTCGTAATGTTAACCATCTCACCCGGAAATCACAAACATATTTGGTTGTAAGCCTGAAATTGTCTGCATCATCCCTAAGGCACATCAGAAGCAAACTTGGAGGATGTGTATTTTGATATTCGTACTCTGACAGATTTTTATGGCTATAGTGGAGTCCAGTTGTTTTGACAGATGCATGTTTTTAAAATAGATGCAATACGCACTTGAAGATATTAATACTTGGAATTATGTTTAAATCATGAACAAAAGATTTTCAGAGATTTTTGGCGTTTAATTAACTCTGTTAAATACCCACAGAAGTTGAAATCAGCTGTCAGGTCCTATATTTTATCTGGTTCCTCTAAAACAGTACTGGTCCAACAACAGAAATATAATGTGAGCCACAAATGCAGGCCACACATGTAAATTTTAAGTTAAGTTTTCTAGTAGCCCCATTAGAAAAAGTAAAAGTAAATAGGTAAAATTAATTTTGATAATATATTTTATTTAACATTATATATCTAAGTTATTATTTCGACATGTCATCAATATAGAAAATTGAGATATTTTACATCTTTTTTAAATGAACCATGTCTTCAAAATCCAGTATGAATTAACCATACTGGATAGTGCAGCCCTAAAATCTGCTTCATCTAACAGTTGAATATTTCAAAACAGCAGCTTCATTCATTCTTTTACTCGAAGTCTCACAAATGTTATGATTTTACAAAGTGCTAAAGTAATCAAATTAAATTTCCTGGTTGAAGAGTTAGATGAAGTTACCATTTCTCTAAAGGGTGAAAAAAAACAAAGTATAGAAAGACAAAGCAATCTATCTGTGGCAAAGTTCTGAAGTTAACTTGTTTGCTACAATGATGCATTGATGACAGGGAAAATAAAAATTAAATATTTTTATTAAATAAAATGTGTAAAGTTTTTTTAATCCACATGAGGTGTCACCTTGACAGATGAGTAGTTATGATGACCAAGCATTTAGACTCAATTTTAAAAAGCTGATGGTATTTCTCCTGCTCAGCTGGGAAGCAAAAATATTCAACAGATTCTGTGATAAGTAATAAATTGAGTTGTTCAGGTTTGACAGTTCAGTTGATTATTGTGTTCTTTGCATATTCATGTAAAACTGAAGCGTGAATGATATTGCAGTGAGCTAGATTAATGATTATAGATATAGTAGCCTGTCAAAGAAAGATGATGTCTTACATTAAAAAGGTGATTTATTTTTGTTAGCTGTCATATTTATTATCGTGAAAGGCAACCATGATGGCTGTAAGAACCAAAGCATGGGTATCGCATTGCACAAATCTGGGTATCACATTGATGCACTTTGTAATTATCAGTGTGCTTGTTCTTCACAGATTATCGTAGGAGAAAGGAAAAAGAAATAATCTTTTAATGAGGAAAAAGATGACATGACTATTGGTAGTGGCTGACAGAGTCCAAATAGTCCCAATTCCTAGAAATAAATAAAAGGTAAACAATGTCAACTTTGTGTGTGTGTGGCGTGCGTGTGTGTGCGTATTCATGTATATACACGAGAAAAATGTTGTTAAGGTTTTCAGTCAGTGAGGAAACAAAAGGTTTAAAACTCATCTTTCTTCAAACATGCTGTGGGGCATAGAATAAAGGCATAGGGAAGACAGAGTTGAGCGGACTAAGCTGGACCAAAATTTCTGCACATGTAAGGACATAAGTGGTGTTTAAATTATATGAACCTTAAACAAACTAGACTTTGCATTAACTTCCTCTTACATTTCCATTGTAAAGGTTTAAGATAAGTACGTTCATGGATAACAAAGCTGTGGGGGATCTAACCATAGCACCTCCCCCAAGGGATTAATCTTGATTCATTTTTTCTGTTAATTTCCCTAAGCTTTCTACTAACCCATTTTTCCTCTGGTTTAGCAATGGCAATGTGTTGTTTACAAATACTCCTGGGGGAAAAAAATCTAGTCACCAGCCAACAAAGAAATACTGATTTCTCTTTTGTTTGCTCTGGAAGGAAAAAGATTATTTACCTTAATTACCACCAAAAATACTGTTTAAATTCTGTACAAACCTAAGCAAGATAGATAAGTGCATAGCTCATTTCACAGTGGGAGATGATTGGCTAAAATAAGGCCTCCTTCATTAAGAGCTACACCGAACACTAAGAAAACGTTTCTAGAATGAAAAGGAAAGATAAGCATTACTGTATTAATACAAGATGACATGGTGTTTTAAAACCATACCTAAATTCTCCAAATTAACTTGTATAGGCTTTCACTTTCTTGAAATGAGACTATAGCTTCCTAGAAGCCTAAAAGTCAAGAATGTATTCTGCTATCCTTCTGACCTTTTTAAAGCCTGAACTCCTGAATTTAAATCTTTTAAGTTTTCCTATAATGGCTGTTTATGGTTCAAACAATTTGAAATAACTATGTGCATTTAAAACCTAATGTTGATTATTTTCCTTTTATATTCTGTGTGGCAATGGTACATTGGCCTTTTCAAGAAAAGGATTTGGCTTTGTGACAACACTTTTGCGAACTGGATATAACCTTCAAAAAGAAAAACTGCTCTCCAAAATGACAATTTTTTGAAGCATGTTTACCTGCTCATGTAAGAAACAAAATGCAATGGAAACAACTGAAATTGAGGGATGAACTTACAGTTCTGCTAAAAACCTTAGCTTTTTATAATCATGATCTGTGGTATTATCAATACCATAAACCACAAACATTTATGCTGTTAATTTTTTAAATTGTCACTTTTATTGTATAGGATCAAAGATTAAATTGTAAAGCAATGACATTCCAGTATTTTTTTAAAAGTGAAGCCAAAAAGGCAACTAAGCTTAAGTACAAACACAAATAAAACAAAAATGAAAATAAAAATAAAAATAAAAATGATCCTATCAACCTGGGGTACAGCAAGGGAGAAATTAAAGGAAGAGAAATTCAAGTATATACTGGAGGAGTCTTTCAAAATATCCCAGGATTAAATCTCACCCTGAGCTGCTGTTACATGTGATTGGAATACCAGAGAGATGGCCTCATAGTTACATTTATCTTGTTTTGCAAAAAGTCCTTGGGTACCCCTAAAACATCTATTTTTTGGCTGGAAATTTAGCTCATTAGAGCAATGACATCACTAAGATATTATAGTTGTCATGGGTGAGGTGGGGAAAATTACTCCATCTGCCTGACATAGTTTACCTTTCCTCGCCTTGACAATGAATATTCTGGAACAAAGTAGAGCTCTTAAAACTTAGTATCATTATTGTAATTGTTATATAATAATTGTGTAGGACTTACACTTTAATTAAGAAAGATGAAAACCTTTTTTCTTTCCTGAGTCAGCCCAAAGGTGCTATTTTACTTATCAATACAGTTGAAAGGAAGTACTGTCATTTTGGGCTGCAGTGTTTCCTCCACGTCTGAAGAAAGCCCATTTTGAAATTGGATATTGCATTAAAACAAAGAAAAATTATTTTAAGTGTGTGCAATTTTTGAGATTGAGCATTTGTACTTTTTTGGTTTTACCTAACTCTCTTGCATTAACAATTTACTGTTTTGTGAATAATGTGTACTAAGACAAATTAAGGAAAAGGAAATAATTATCTGTGAAAGACAGACTTTGTATATTAAACAAGTGATCCAAACCTTTGTTGTGGTTTCTTTACTTTTTGCCTAACTTACGGGATTTCTGCAGAATTGTATTGTTACCGCCAAAATGGGTTCTTCTACTTGCCACCAAGACAAGCAAGACAAGCCAAGAGTCAAGAGGCAAGGTGGTAGAGAGAAAGGGTTTTATTACAGCTTGCAGGCAAGATGGAAGATGGGAGGACTAACACCCAAAAGAACCCTCTTGAGGGGAAACAGAATCCTGAAGCAGTTTATATAGGCCAGTGGGTTATAGGGGAGTGGGTTAGGAATGTTGACCCTCTGGTGTTACAAACTGGGAGTCGCCACACCAGATTTTTCAGTTGTCACGATATCAGCATAGAATCTCTGTCCAAGGGTCATCACATTCCTAGGGAACTCAAAAGAACCTTATCATCTTATCACAGCTGGGAGGGGGCCATAAAATCTACAGAGCATGTATATCTCCTAGGGGGTGCAAAACCAGCTGGGTTAATCAGAGGTCATTCAAAGTTACAATATGGTCTCTTTTCTACAATATGGCTTCCCTTATGTCAACTTTGTGTTGAGTTGGTATCAGTATCTGCAACATTCAAACAGGTTTGAGTTCTTAAGATTTTTACAATGGTCTGGGTTTTTGAGCAGGGTCTGAACATATTTGTAATTTTAAGGCCAATCAAGGCTGACTAACCCATGACATTGTAGAAAGGAATAAACAGGTGCATTAACAAGGGGAAACCATTGGAAATAATCTACACAGACTTTCAAACCCTGTTTAAAAAAATAATACAAAAAAAACTTTAAGAAAAATCACAATGTAACCTAAAGAAAGGGTTTTCTCACAAATAAGACTTGGATATACAAAAGAATATAACAGCATTTTTCTACTCAGAGATAATAAGAGTGGATTCAGATAATTTCATAGGTAATAAATACTAAGAGAAAGACTTTGAAATTTACTTCTAATCTAAGAGGTTTGGTGATTAATGAAGAAAATGTGTCTCTCCAAAGCTCCAACTTCTGAGCCTGAATTCAGAGTAAACAGACTGCCTGGCCCAGGCTGCCCACAGCCCTTTCTATTAGACTGCTAATTTTATGAGCTCATTCTTCTGCCCAAATTGGACATCTGAATTTATAGTCTTCTCTCACCTCCCAAATTACAATAAACACTCCTAGATCACAAATCGTTGTCACTGTGTGTTCAGCTAATGATCCTAAACCTGTGAGCTGTGATGGAGAAACCCAGGGCAGCAGGGGTATGGATAGAGATACTTTCACTCAAGGAAAGGGCAATGCAGGCAGAGGGCACAGTAGGTACCAAAGTCCTGAATGGGAAATGTCAAGCAAGACTCAGCCAGTAAAGAACCAACAAGCCTTGTTAGGGTCAGGCAGTGTATTACCTATACTGATAGCAAAAGAAAGATGAACAAAGGTGCCAGCTCCTGACAAGTCTTGTCCCACAGGAAGACAGAAAAAGAAAAAGGGTCAGATGATAATGCAACATAAGGGGTGGAGCACCCTTCTGCCGAGATACTGACGCCATGCTGCATCTAAGCAATTTCACAGCCTGCAGCCACACCCTAGAGACACGAGGTGGAAAGTCTCATACTTCATCAGAAGCTGGGAGACAATGACGAACTGCCTCACATCTCCTTGTTAAGAGAGGGAGGCAAATGTAAAGTGGCCTATGGTAATTCCTTACAAGCATCCCACAGCCTCGTGTTCCCGGAAGATCACAGGGCATTCTTCTAAGACTCAGGTCAGATGCAACCAAGCCTGGACTAAGTGGATACACAAGGCCAGCCAGCACAGAGGTGCCAGCACAGAACTGTTCTGCTAAAGGAAACAGCTAGGGCATTCTAGGAATGGACAGAAAGCCAGTGTGTCTGAAGGACAGTAAGCCAAGGGCCAGTGGGTTCCAGCTGAAGTTGGAGAAGCAGTCAGGAATCCAATCATTTCAGGCCTCTCTGGCCATGGCACGGAATATTAGTTTCATTCAAAACATGATGGATGTCAATGTGGGTTCATCTGGTGGGTGATGTTGATGATAGGGAGGCTATGCATGTGTGGGGATAGGAGGTATATGGGAAATCTCTTTACCTTCCTCTCAATTGTGATGTGAACCTAAAATTGCTCTAAAAAAATAAAATCTTAAAAAAAAAAAACATGGTTGGAAACAAAATTATACCCCATCAAATAAACAAACATACCATAAAAAAATGTGATGGAATGATATTGTAAGGACTTGAACAAAGGAGTAACATATTTTAGTGTACATTTTAAAAAATTCATGAGCAACTCTGGAGAATGGATTAAGAGGAGCAAGAATGGGGGCGTGAAGGCCAGTTATGAAGCTACTGCACACAGCACAGGCAACACATGGTAGCTTAGGTAAGGATGAAAGTGGAGATGGCCTCACATGGACTGATTTGACTTTGCTTTTTTGGAAATAGAACCAGAAATACTCACTAATTAAATTAGATTGGGGGAGGGGATGGAAAAGCAAAAGGGAAGAATCAAGGATGACTTACAGGCAGTTGTCTGGCTTGAAAAATTAGATGAAAAACTTGGGGAGAATCAAAGCTCCTGAGAAGACAATAGGGAGTGGGACACAGACCACAAGTACTAGTATTTGCCTTTGAAAGGAAAAAAAGTACTACATTTGTTAGATCGAAAGAAAAGAAAATGACAGTTTCTATTTTCTCAATGACGTATAAAAAGTCAACAGTTGAACACTGAGGAAGTTAGTATTAAAGTCAAGCTAGAAAGTATGAAAAAGTAGTAAAATAATTATCTCAAAGTTGGAAAATGAACTTAATAGGGAAACATAATAAAATTGCTAAACAGTATTGAGAATTCACTCGAGATTTACAAACATGACTGTTTGAGCTGCCTGGGAACAGGTATGAAGGAGACAGATAACTGAGTGTTACCTGGTTCGGGTTTTGAAAGAGGAATACTATGCAGTCAGGGGCAGAAAATCGAGAGTTCTGCAAGGAAGCAACTATGAACTCTGAATCTAAGGTGAACAAGAAATAATCTGAAGACAAGAGAGAGATGATGCATAATGAGAAAATGAGGTCAAAGTGTAGAAATCAGCAATGGAGAGTGGAATGCTCAAAATCAAGTTTACATAAGGAGTTTCAAGTGTTGATAAGGATCTGGCTGTGCCGTTCAGATGCCTCTGACGGGATGCAGAAAGACTGGGAAACTTAAAGGTTATAGTGTTAGATTTGTTATCCACTAGGCTCCTGTAATCACTAAAATGATTGAAATAGGAGAGAAGAAAACTGCTTGAGCTCTTGGCTAAGCTAACGTCTTCACTGAATGGGCAGAAGGTTCTTCTGAGAGGTAAGGTATGAAAGGGAGACAATGATAGAGCTTTAAAGAACTAAGGGAGAAATTATTTGGAAGCGGCAATAGAGTAAAGAGGACACCTACCCAATCTCCTGCCCCTGAAACACATGGGATATGAGTAGAAAAGGCTTCTATTTGTAGTGAACAGTGTTCTAACGGGACACCTATGTCAGCAAGGCAAGGAAGTGACTAGGACATTAGGAAAAGAGACCACAGATGTCAGAGTTAGCTGCTCTGAGCTTAGAAATATATCACTAGTCTATGTCCATGGAAGTTCAGCTCACTGATTTAGACCAGGGATTGGCAAACTATGGCAAGCAGGCCAATCCAGCCTGCGGCCTATTTGCTTATGGCCATGGACTTACAATGGTTTTTACATTTTGAAAGGATGGTAACACCACACACACACACACACACACACACACACGAAAATGCAACAGAAACAGCATTTGGCCTGCAACACCTAAAATATTTACTCTGGCTCTTTACAAAAAAAGTTTGCCAGCCCCTAGTTTACATAGAAGTACCAAGACAGTGAGTTACCTTTACTCTGTTCCATGGCCTTGGCCTGCAGAAGCTGTCTTACAAAGATATACTACTGACCGAAAGAGGTCTAGCTAAGGGAGCACAAGTTACCACTGCAGGAAGAACATGTTCTACACACAATGATTAAGGATATCATTTAAAAGCATTACTCTAAAGATAAACTATCTCTTAGGCTTCTTTGGTCCAGCCAGGAGTGACATGACAATTATGGTCCTAAATGGTAAAGTAAATTCATTCATTCAACAAATATTTATCTGTTTTAGTTCCAAGCAGTGTGGCTTGTTATATTTTACGCTTTGATAGCATAGGGAAAAAAACTAGGAACAAATGTTTGAGGGGGAGGAGGATCTGCCATTTGCACAAGTTATTCATCTAACAGTACAGTTTTTTAAATATCAGACCAGATAAAACAGTTTTTATTCTCTTTAATTTATGACTCAGTTTTTATAGCCATTTTGAGACAAATAGGAACCAAAAAAAAAAGAAGGAAATTTTCCAATGACTAAAGAGATGGGAACTTACTATGTAACTGTAAAACCATACTTTTACGCAGATTACTAAAGCAAAAGCAAATCAGCACCACTCATATCACTGAAAATGAAATAATTAGAACCTTAAGAAGTAAAATTATGAAAATACATTTTATTTTCAATTTTCAGAAGTAAAAAAGCTGTAACACTTTAAATAAACTGTTAGGACTTAGTTGATATCTAGTTAACCTTATACAGCACTAACGTTTTGTTTTTCTTTTCTGGAAAATACTCAAATATACTTGCAATGCATCCTTTACAAAATAGACTAAAAGATACTTGCATTTAACAAGTTCTGTGAAGAACAACATTCTACCACATTCATGTTTTTCATGATAGATGTCATTTAACCCATCTCTTAGAAGAAAGAATAACACAATTGAAATAACTGGCTAACTAATCTTTAGTTCTGTTTCCACAAGTAAAACCTATCACTCTGCACAATGAGAAAGTAGAAAAGAATATGCAACCAAAAAGAACTAACCTAAAATCATTGATCCCTATCAAAAGATAACAGATTAAGCGTGGGAGATCAACATAAAAAAAAAATAAACAGTGACTGTTCTTGTTACCATTTAACTCTGGCTCAAAGACAAAAATAATGTACAATCCATCAGTGTATATGAATTCTATATCACATTTCCCTATTTCATAAGGAAAGGAAATAGGTTTAAGAGTAAGATTACTGAAATAATATTATTACTGGAAGACAATTTTGCTATCATCACTGCTCAAGAAGTATCCATAGGACCCTTTTAGAAAGCAGGTTGCTGTTCATACCCCAAAATGTGAGATTAGGTGATCCTAAATAAACACGAGGGAAAAAAATTAAAATATTTTTTGTCCTCACTCATATTGCTCCCTCTGCCCCGGTAATTCGGATTAAATCAATTTTAAAGATCACTATTTTATTTTATTTCACTGTATCTATTTTAGCAACTTAATGTAAATGAAAACAAACACTAATTTTTTTTTTTTTTATTGGTGAGGAAAATTGGCCCTGAGCTAACATCATTCGCAGTCTTCTTTTTTTGCTTGAGGAAGATTAGCCCTGAGCTAACACCTGTGACAATCTTCCTCTATTTTGTATTTGGGATGGCTCCACAGCATGGCTGATGAGTGGAGTAGGTCCGCACCCAGGATATGAACCCGAGAACCCGGGCCACCAAAGCGGAGCGTGTGGAACTTTAACCACTCAGCCACGGGGCCGGCCCCCCAACAGTCATTTCTAAATAAAATCATAATACTGTTTTTGAAACTGCAAAAGCTGTTCTCATCATGTCAGAGAATAAGTGAAACAGCAAATTCTCGTATCCAGACAATCATTTACTATAATCAATTCAGGTGTAACCTGAAGCTTTCTCACATTATTTTCAAGTCAAGTAGAGGATAATTAGGCTACTGCCGTCATTTCCTGATCCGAGTCATCTGAGTCCGAGTCATCTTTTAGTTCCAATTCCCCTAAATCTTTGTCTACAGTTGTAATAATAGTTTTCTTCTTGCACTTCTTGGGAAGTGCATCATTAGCACAAATTTTTCTCATTTTAATGTTTGGCAATTTCTTCAGATCAAAATCCCATTCCCTAGACAAAAGAAAGAGATAGGGGGTTGGCAGGCGGTGAGATGGGGAAGCAGGAGAAAGTCAATATTCAAAACTCTGAAAGTAGCAGAACAAAGTTTATAAATTAACAGCAGATTCAAATGCACAAGAAAGAAACAATATAAATGCTTTAGGAAAAAAAAAATGTCCCAAGAACTGAGGCTTGCTTTTTCCATACTTATTGCATTTTCTCACTAATCTACAACAGCAGTAACTACACAGAGAATCCCACATATTCAAAACTTCCAAAGCAATACAGGGAAACACTAGGCAGAATTACAGGGAAGCTCTGTTCCATTCTTTCCTTCTCCCTAACCTGAACACTTCTCTATCAGGCCATATGGTATCAAGACTCTCAGAAGTAGGAACTACATCATACCTGGCAAATCCGCAAAACGCATACTACAGAATAAGTTTTTCTTTCCACACAGTGGAAGTCAGAGTTAAGTTTCAGTAATCAAACAATTTTTATGGTTATAATAGAAAATTTACTTTTTCAACCTCAGCATTTTTTGTGACAAGCCTATGTTCATTTACTTTAGGAGCAATGTGAAGATTGGTTTGAGTACCGAACTCTAACCAGCAACACTAACAGTCTATGCTAATTTCTTCACTCATTTCTGGCTTTCTTTGGGGGAGGCAGAACATATATTGTTTTAGAAATAAGGAGCACACTTATATATCTGATTAATTAATACTACAGGCCAAAAAATAATTAAGGTATAAAAAGAATCTCATGCTCCATGTAATTAAATTGTAAATACATGTACATGAGCTAAAAATGAACTAAATCTTATATATGATTAATGAATTCTATTAGAGCTAATATTTTATGAGTAAATATTAAATATTTTTCTATGAATTCATAAGTATAGAAATATAAAATAAGCTTAAGGGTTTCAAAGAATATGACTGGAGTTAAATTTATGTAATTTTAATTTACATAAAATTTCAGACCTGTCAACATGGTCTAGTTACGATCAAAGTGGTTAATAAAAGTCATTTTATAAAGATAACCCACATTTGAAAACTAAAAAATTGAAATCCTACTCGGTAGTCTCTCTGGTCACAAAAGTGCAGAGTAGAGAGACCACTGGACCAACCGGTTCTTGGTGACTTAACTCTTCCCCTGCTATCACTTCCCATTAACCATCTTCTCCAAAAGAGGATGCTGCGAACAGTCTGGGGATGGGACTCTGAGCCATCAAGTCTGCTGCCGTTATTTTATTTTTGTGAAAAAATAAGAACTGAGGAGAAATAGTGAAATCAAGTTCTTTTAAGTACTGAAGTATTTTAAAATATTTTGAAAAACAAATAAAAGCACCATATCACTATCATTTCGGTATATATCAGGTATTTCAAATAAACACAACTTGGGAAAATTGTTACATTGATGAAAGAGAAAAGTTTAAAAGAAACCCCTGATTTTCTTTTAGCTCTAATATCTAGACTTAAAAGGGAAGAAAGTTTATGTCTCATGTATTTTACACACAGCTTCAAAGAATAATAAAAGTGACAGACTCACCTAAAAGTTTTCAGATTACCTGCATTTACAATGTCTGGAATCTCTGGGAAAGAAAATAATTTATATCCATTAGACAATGTTTTCTAAATTACAACATTTTATAGTTCCTCTTTTATTACCTCAGATACAACAAATAATAATTGACAGAGCAAGAATATTCAAAGCCAAACAAAGTTTCAAGGCACCGTTATAATGCTATATGAAAAGTAAGTTTTGCAAGTATAAAGGACTTAGTTTAAGAAAGCGATTTAAGAAGAATGCTATTAAATAATAAATTCTAGCATAAAATCTGTAAAATAAAACAAACCTATTAACAAAATAAACCCTGTCCTTTTAAACCATAAAAGATACCTGGCAAATTCTAATTATCAATCCCCTAAAACAACATGCTAGGTTGTTTTATATATTTTCTTGGTGAAAAGTACAATATTTTCAAGAATATACTTCACCTTGGCAAGGGAGAGTTTATCTGAGGAATGCAAAGATTATTTAATATTAAAAAATCACATTATTCAAAACGTGGAAAAAAATTTAAAACAATCTATAATCAACAGATGCTTCAAAAAATTCAAAAAATTTAGACCCATTTTTAATAAAAACTAGGTGTACGACAGTTCCTTACCATGATTAGAAAGTTTATCATAAATCAATATGCATGGTCGTACTTACTGGAGGAACACAGAGGCATGTATAACAAAAACTAGAACACTGTTGCAAAAATTCTGGCCAATGCAATAAAATATTAATTAAAATCCAGTATCAATTAATAAAAAAGATAAAATAAAAATGTTTGACACAACTGTATGCTGACTTTTATAAGTTTCAGAAGATATGAGTATGATAGGGCAGGTGTTTAAAGGGTGTAAATTAAGCACAAAATTTTTTTTAAAAGAAATCCTAATAAAAATGAGTCAGAAATAGTTATACCACCATGGGGCAAGGAAGGAGATGTGTTAATATCTAGTCTTTTCTGAAACTTATCAAAACAGAATTTGGTGACAATTTGACTACATGTTTCTAGACACTTGTGGACTTGTTAGAAATCACAAACCTCCTTTCACCAGACACATTCCCTGACTGTGGAAGGAGCACTGAGGCCGAGTTGGAAGAACACTAGATCTGAGTTTTAGTACTGGCTCTATCACCAATAAATGTTTGAACTTGGATGTGCTCTGTTAATTACTGTTAATTAATCTGGCAGCTGCAAGCTGAACAGACTTTAGGAGGAAAGAGCAGAACCATGGAGACCAACAGGAAGGCTGTTGCAACGGTACAGGTGAGATGATGGTGGCTTGAACTAAGGAGGTGGTGGTAGTAGCAGTAAGTCATCAGATTCTAAATATATTTTGCTGACGAGCTGGATGTGGAATGTGAAAGAGACTGCAGGGTTTCTGACCTGAGCAACTGGGTAAGTGGTGATGCCACTGACTGAAGTACAGATCTTGCAGGAGGAGCAAGTTTTAGGAGACAAGTTCGACTTGGCTTTGGGCCACGTCAAGTCTGAGATGCCTATAAGACACTCAAAAGTCAAGATTTTGAGAAATCCAAGTTAGACAGTGCAAGCCTGGAGTTCTAGGGACAAGTCAGGGTGAACAATATAAATTTGGAAGTTATCAGCATTTAGATGGTATTAAAACCACAGGGACTAAATGAAATCAACTTAGGAATTGGTGTAAATAGAAAAGAGAAGAGGCTCAAGGACAGGGCCCTGGGCCAACATTTAGTTTGTGAAGATGAGGAAGACTGAACTTAGGAAACTGCAAAGTCATGGCCAGTGAACTAGAAAGAAAAGCAGGAAACATCGGGGTCTTCTACACCAACTAAAAAATGCTACAAGAAAATGAAGTGATCAATGCCCAGTATAACACCTATTTGTCTTAGCAACTTAAGGTCATCAGGGATGAGTACTTTTAGTTGATGGTGGGGACAAAAGCCTAATTAAAGTGAGTTCCAAAAAAAAGTGGAAACTGAGAAAATGGAGACTAGCACAAGGCAAATTTTACACTCTTAGTAGGTAACTACTTAGGTGAAAAGGACAAGGGACTGGTTGAAGCACTCCCTCAACCTCCCACATTAGGTACTATGTCAGGCGCTTCGATAAATGAAATCTCATTTAACTTTTAAACAACCTGGGGGAAGGAGGTATACTATTTATCTCAATTTTTAAATTGAAGGAAACAAGGCCCAGAGGGGTTAAGTAACTTGCCCTGTTATACAGTAAACTCTATGGGTTTAAGCTCAGATCTGTCCAGGTCTAAAGCTATCCTCTGCTGTTTTCTCAGTTAAGAAACTCACTTAGGAATGATGAAGAGGAACTGCCATCTACTTCAGGGTTTCTAGTGTTACTGTAGTGTAAGTACCTGACATTAAGCTTTTTGATTGTAATGTAAGTGCCTGACACTGAGCTTTTGACTGCTGAGGCATCCATTTCCAAAACATCCATCTCAAATAAACATATTGCCCGCTGTGTGACACAGCTACTAGCCAAACAACTAGCTAAGGAACCAGGCCACCCCCATTCGTGCAGTTCCACTTTTAGAAAGCCCTAGGTAACCTAGATAACTGACCACCTGAGTGACCCCCCCTTTCCCTTCTCCAGCCCTAATTCCTACTCTTATGTTTTAAATTTTCCAATAATGAGTGAACCCCTGAAACCCTAGGCACCCCACCCTCAGACACTAACAAAGGCAGAGCCCCAGGTATGTGCTCCTTCCCTCTCTCCTCCTCCTCTCCTCCCCCTCCCGCTCGTGCTCCTCTTGCCCGAGGTCCCGTGTACCCTCCAGGACTTGTGAGTAATAAATCTTGTTTTTTTCAGTTTCCCGACTGTTGTTGCTGAGGTGTTTCCTGCAAAAATAATGAGAACTACAAGGAGAGGTCCAACCACAACATTGGCTCCAGCTGGGGAAATGTCTGTGGGGGCTCGCCACAAGTAGTATGGACTCAGGCGAGTGCCTCAGGCATTTCCAGCAGAGAGCATCACCATCAACAGGCTGAGACCTACACAACAGTTACCCACAGGATATTTCCTTTAGAGTCATACTTCACAGTTGTTATTATTAAAATTTAAAAATGTAATTCTGTTATTAAATATTTCATTTATTACACTTTCCAAGCAGATCCACATAATATAAATGCCTACAAGGACCAGGCAGGGAATGTGAATGAAGGAACGTTCAGGATCACGGCAAACTTGAGAATATATGGGCAAGTCTAAATGGGAGAGCTACTACTGCATTCTAGCAGATTATGTTGTCAGACCATCTGATTTTTGAAGAGAAGCCAGAAATCTACATTTTTCATGTGAAATCACCAGATTCTTTTTAATAATGACAATTAATAAGCCAATCAAATACCATGTGCAGGCCACATGTAGCCTTTGAGTCGTCACCTGTTCATGGGTTTTACAAGCCTTAAATACCCTCTTCTACTAAGTGCTTTTCTTCAGACAGTGTTGGTAAACTAACAGTGTTGGTAAACTCTTTAGGAATGGTAAGAAACGCCACAATGCTAAGAATGAATATTGGATTTCTATAGTTTCTCAAGAATGACTGCAACAAGTAGGTACTACAAGAATTACAAAGATAAGGACACAGCACCTGCCCTGAAGAAAACTTAGATGTAGCTGGAGATGGGCAAGTGATAACTCCATAACAAAGCAAATCAGGGTAGTGCCAGAAGGGAGTGGAAAACTCTACTGTCACAGCAGAAAGACATGATGTCACTCTCACAACTGACAGCTTGGGGAATGTAGGGAAAAAAAAAGAATGAATTAAAAAATTATTCCGCATACTCACAAAAGAAAGGAAATCAAAGGAAGAAAATCAAACTAAAGAAAGAGAATAAATAAAATTAAACCTTTGAAATGAATTACAAATCTGATATTGCTATGTATTTCAGAAAGGAAAAAGAAAATCACAGTGAACACACCAAGGCCATATCCTTCATACTGCTGCCGCTCACGCTCCATTGTCTGCTTGATGACTGTCTCCCGGGAACAGTGCCGCCTTCCCTGCCTGTCTTTGATGCTGTTATGTAATTCAATCTGCTCCAGCTCACTACTGAATCGATTTAAATACCTGAAAAATAAGAAAATGATTTGAGTTGCAAAGTCTGTATGTTTGGCTTCCATTACTTCATTTTAAACATAATCCCCAGCCTTCGCCTGTCCTTTAAATTCTTATGTTCCTCTAAGTTCCTCAAGTCCTTAGACCTCAGACCTTCTCTGGATAACTCAACCTTTCCCAAAATTTCAGCAACCAAATCACTGCCTGCTATTAAAGCCTCTGTTAAACTCCAGACCCTCATATTCAATCACCTCCTGGACATCTCCACCTGGATGTACTGTAGAGGCTTAACACATCAAGACTAAACTCATCCTCACCCCTGCCCCACTCCTCCCCCACCAAACCCGCTCCATCTCTTTGGCTCCCTATCTCAGGAAACAGTACAACCATTCGTCCAGCTGCCCAAGAGAGGAATGCAAGTGTCCTCCTTGACTCCTCTCTCTCCCTTTTATGCCACATCTAAGCTTTCACTAAAGATTGAGACATCTACCTTCTTAATATCTCTGCAATCCTTCATTTTTCTTTACCACACTGCTACTAACCAAGCAGAGGCCATCATCATCTCTTGCCTGGATTGCTTCTCAGCCTCTCAACAGTCTCCTGGCCAAAGCCATGCCCCCTCAGGTTATTATCCTCCTTCTCACTAGTGTGACCTTTCTAAAGTTTAAATAGGATCATCTCAAGTGCTTGCAGTAAAGCCTCCTATGGCTCCCAATGTCCTTTGATAAAGTCCAAACTCTTAAATGATATGTGAGGTCTTTCATGAATTGGTTGTCACTTATCGTACCTGTCACAATTCCCTCCCTGTTATTTTGGTCATATTAAATCTCTGGCAGATCACTAAATATCTCCCTCTTTCCTCTGGGCCTTTTAGATATTGTTCTCTCTGCCTAGAGGCTCTTCAAACTACCTTACCTCAATCTGCTAACCCCTACCCTTCAGGTGTCAGTTTGATGATATTTCTCCAGGAAGCCTTTCCTGACCACAAGAAACTGGGTTAACCATGGCTCTGAGGCCCAGAAAGGTTACAAACCAACTAAAGTGGCTAGGCTAGGAGACAAATCCAAAGCCTTTTTGATAACAAAGCTCATTTGCTCTTCCGCAAATCCAGAACAGAACTCTGTCTCTTGAAGAACCAGGTTGGAGAATTCCTTTTTCTGACCCTTTGCTCATAAAATGCCCAGTGTTTACCTTTCAATTAATTCACAAGCATCTTTCTTTGAATATCCTACTTTTTTGGGATCAAGATGATTTTGAAACCACTGCAGTTTTTCACCTATAACAACAAGTACCAAGATAGTTTAACACCACAAGTCATCATTTAAGCAAGAGGTATTCATCATAATTTTCAACATCAATGTGTTTAACAGTATCAAAAGTTATTTCAATGTTAAATATAAAGCCTTGTGTGGGCTCAAAGACAATTAAACCAGTCTGTCAGAAATTAAATTGTCACCTTTTAGAGACAGGGGTGAAAGGGATGCTTTTCTGTATGTATTTCTTATCCAATAAGGAGGGAAAAATTAAAAAAAAAAAAGAAAGAAGACTTTAACACAACATGAAGTTCTAAGTATTTAAAAAACAAAAGATAAAACTTGTCTAAAATAATAAAATGAAAATTTAATTAGATTAATGATCAAAATGGTATTTGCTGAACATTTAATTAGCAGCAGGCACTATGTAAAAAGCTTTACAATCCTCTCAGGATTAGTACTGTTATTATCCGCACATACAGATGAGAAAGGTTAAGTAACGTGTCCAGGGCCTCAAAATTAATAAACATATTAAGCATACAAGATCTGCCAGATACTGTGCAAAGAGTGACTGAGATTTATTATGAACAGACCTCATCCTTATGAGTAAATCTGACTATCAGGGTCACTTTCAGTTAGAGTTCTCAGTACTACAGATTAAAAAACGGCCCTACTCCAGATACTGATAACCCATTTAGAAATACTATTCTATTACCTGATGAAGCATTAAAGATAAAGGTTCAAATATCTTTAATTTTAGTAATAAAGCCTAACAGTCACTATTCTGAAACCTCAGGCATATCAGTAAAAATTTAGTAACAATAAATTTGACCCCTCCAAATAAAGACTGTGACACTGAGATACAGACTATGTACCCACATCATTAAATATGAACTGCTGTTTCCAAAATACTTAGACCAAAATCCTTCACAATTCTAATTGTTAGGGAGCTAGAATTAAACTTCAGATATAGGTAGGTAAGTAGATAGATATATAGATTGATAGATAGACAGAGGTAGACAGATAGGTAGCTAGATAAATATAAACAGCTTCTGGAAAACTGTGCTAGATATTAACATTCTTCTAAGAGTTTAATGATGGAGTTATATTTTAATGAAGTCTGGTAAAGAAAATTCACTTAGACAAAAATATTTCAATAGGAAAACAAGTATAGGGCATAACTTCACTACACCCTAGCCAGAATCTCAAATAAGTAAATTTACTTACCGATAAGGTTGAGACGCAAGGCCTTTTCATTCTTCAGCCTTAGAAGAAAAGGTGCATAACGTGTTAGAAAATGTCCAAAGAAAGTTTTAAAATTCTGCCAAAACCAATAAAAAAACATTGCCCAAAGAGCCTTAATTCAAAGATCACTCTTTTATGTATAAGAAGTTAGTTTTGTTAATATAGAAACATTAAACACCATGCTTATCTCTTAAATCACTAGAACAAAATGTTCTTTTAGAAACTTGTTTTTAGCTCTTCAATGACTAAAGGACACCTATAGAACAAATCAGTTTTGAAAATACAAATGAAAGCTTGATTGGATTATTAATGTTCAGGTAGGTTCTGCAATATGCAGAATACTTGTGTATAAAAAAGTAATGAACACCTTCTAGAAGACTGAGTGCTGCCACCAAGACCAAAATGTATTACTGTCATCTTTTAAACTTTCTTAAGAACTAAACAAAACAGAATGTTTACTTTTCGTAAATTTGAAAACAATTATACCACATAAAAAGAACTCATTTATTCTCAGAAAACAGTTGAAGTAATATATGACTCCTACGGTTGATATCATCAATACTAACTTTTTCGGAAGAGATCTCTGGATAGCTAGTTTTGCTACACTTTATGTTGGCCACTGGGGATACAGCAACGAACAAAAAATACACTGCCCCAGCCCTAACGAAGCAGCCCAGAATTACCCTTCCGCTTTAAACAACTATAAAACTGGAGAAATAAAACGAAGCCATTTTTATAAAAACTTTTTAGCCACAGAATGGGAGAAAATATTCACAACACAATAACTAGCATTCAGAATATGCGAAGAGTTCTTACTACTTAATAATAGACAAACAACCCAACATCAAAAAGGGCAAAAGATTTTAACAGATTTTTCATCAAATTGAAGACGTACACATGACCAATAAGCACATTAAAAGATACTTAACATCGTTAGTCATCAAGATGCGCAAAGTGAAACCACACTGAGATAGACTATACATCTATTAGGATGGCTAACGTTTTTTTTTAAAAACCTACACTATGACATGTTTGAGAGGACATAGAGCAAATGTAACTCTCATAAAACGGTACTATCACTTTGAATAAGGCAACTCCTTCCATACTTAAACATTACACCTACCATATGACCAGCAATTCTTAAAAACTTAATTTCTTATAAACTCAATTTCTTATATACGTAAACATGTATCTACCATATAACCCAGCAATTCTAATCCTAGCAACTGAAAGAAAAATGAAAACATATGTTCACACAAACCTTGTACATGAATGCTCATGGCAGCTTTATTCATAATAGCAGGGGCTGGCAAATTTTTTCTTAAATGGACAGATAGTAACATGTTAGGCTTTGCAGCCCATGTGGTCAGTCTCTGTCACAACTACTCACTTCTGCCATTATAGCCTGAAAGCAGCCACAGACAATACAGAATAAATGGGCATAGCTGCTTTTCAATAAAACTTTTTTTTATAAAAACAGGTGGCTGGGCCCTTAGTTTACAGACCCCAACAAAAGCCAAAAAACTGTAAACAATCCAAATGACCATCAACAGGTGAATGGACAAACAAATTGCATTGCATACCCATACAATGGAATACTATTCAGTAATAAAAGAGAAAGACAACTACTACATGAAGTAACACGGATAAATTTCACAAACATTATGCCAAGTAAAAAGCTGGCACAAAAAATTATATACAGTATGATTACATTTATATAAAACATTAGGAAAGACAAATTTCATCTATCAAAATAGACAGCAAATCAGGGGTTGCCTGAGGCTAGGGGTGGAGAGTGAGGATTGATTGGGAAGATGCACAAGGGAATCTTTTGAGAGGATGAAAATGCACTATATACCAATCATAGTGGTTACACCGATGTATCATCAAAACCCAAAATCTACACTTAAAATATGTCTAGTTTATTGCATGTTATTTATACCTCAAAGTTGATTTTAAAAAATAGAGAACACTTCATAACAAGATAGAGAATGGCTCTGAGAGGAATTCATTCCTCTTAAATAAGCTCGGAAGGAAGAATCTAGTTGGAAGTCAAGTTGCAACTATTCTGAATGAACTTAAAGAGGCCTTAACTAGGTGGTGGTTATCAGTTGGGATGAAGAAAGGTAGAGAGATTTGAGATTAATTCTCAAATGTAGTTGTTTCCTAGATTCTTACTCATTATGCTTAGTTTCTCTTTGTTAATTTTCCATACAAAGTCATTTTCATTTGCTATCCAGAGTTCTGTGCTACATACCTAGCAGGACAAGATATGACAGTACACAGCAACAAAATGTTGCTATGCTGAGAAATCATAAAATAAAGCTAAAATCATGATAGAGAATAGCCATTTGCTGCCTGTAAATTGTGCATCACTTGAAATGTGCTAGTCTTCAAACCATACTAGTTTCTTTTAAATTGAAAGAAGCAATATTTCACACAGTCCTAAATCAGAGCTTTCAAGTGCTGAAGAAGAAGAACGTGTCTGAACTCTTACTCTATGCTGTTGTTCACTCCTGAAGTATCTTTAAGTGGATACTCCAAGCTGCCTGGCTAGCTCTGTTCCTTAGAAAACTAAGTATTTTTTGATAGGGAGATACTAGCAAAAGGTGGTAGTATCTAAGACGGTCCCCACTGATTCTTGCCACTCTGATTCTTGCCACTATCAGTGTGGTTAGACCTAGTCACTGGCTTCTAACAAATAAAATAGTGCAACAGTGATGGATGTCATTCCGAAATTAGGTTACAAAGACTGTCTTCCATCTTGGTCATCTCCGTTCACTCTGTCTCAGAGCCCTTGCTCTGGGGGAACCAAGCTGCCATGTTTTCACTAACCCTATGGAGAGGCTTATGTGGCAAGGAACTGATGTCTACAGCCAACAGCCAGCCAAGACTTGAGGTCTGCCAACAGCCATATAAGTAAGCTTGGAAGCAAAACCTCTCCCTACCAAGCTCCAGGATGAATACAGCCCCAGCCAACATCTTGATGGTAGCCTTGTGAGAGACCCTGAGCCAGAAGCACCAGGGCATTGGGATTCCTGACCGAGAAACTATGTTTCAAGCTGCTAAGCTGTGGTATAATTTCTTATGCAGCAACAGATAACTAAAGCAGTATCTGATAACTTCTTTATTTATTTATTACTTACATTATTATTCATTGAGAAAAGCCACAGGCACCCAAAGTTCAAGTTAAGTCCTGTTGGTACCTTGTCTATCATCTTGCTTACAATTGTCCCAACAGTCTGAGTATCTTGCTACCAACCATCTTTTGAAAATATGCAACTTAGCATTTCTGTCCTGCTGGAAGTATTGCTCTAGCACAGGCAGATCAGCAGGGGTTCAAGGTGCTATTTGTGACTTTGCTCCAATTTAAATTAAATATGACTCATGGTCACTGATGTTGCTACTCAAAATACTGACATCTATGACAGGCATAAGCCTGTTTCATAAAATATGTTAGACACTACCAAAACTGAATATTTGTTTGCTTCTGGGGCCATAACTGTTACAACGGTGATTTCTTTAAACTAAATGAGAAAAAGGAAAAAGCTCAATCTGTTTAGAACATCAACCAAGCAGAAAAAATTAAGTGATACCTTTCAACTCTGTACTATTAAAATGGAGCGTTGGGGCAGGCCCAGTGATGTAGCAGTTAAGTTCGTGTGCTCTGCTTCAGTGGCCCGGGGTTCGCAGGTTTGGATGCCGGGCACGGAACCACGTACCGCTTATCAAGCCATGCTACAGCAGCCGTCCCACTTATAAAAAATAGAGGAAGATGGGCAAGGATGTTAGCCCAGGGCCAATCTTCCTTAGCAAAAAGAGGAGGATTGGCAATAGACATTAGCACAGGGCTAATCTTCCTCACCAAAAAAAAAAAAAAAAAAAAAAAAAAAAGGAGCCTGGGCCAATAATAGAACTTCCTTAGGACAAATTATATATGAAATCAGCATGTTGTTCTGTTTTATTCTTCCATAATTCTATAATATTGATTCTCTAAATCAATGCATAAAATCCTGAATATACCGGACAACATACAAACATTCCAGGATCACTGGCACAAGTACTTAGAGTGAACTAAAGTACTGAACCATATTCTAAAGCAGTATTTCCTAAAATATTGCCTGTATACCTTACTGTACTATGCAAGGTGATTTTTAAGTAGTTCATAGAGAATTAAATAATCTTTAATCAAATGGTAAGAAAGTCACTTTTTTTCCCCCATTTTCTTTGGATCCTTTCTGATTAGGACAGAAATTTGCCAGATCTTTTCACCTAGAATAAAGCAAACATGCCTCATGCTCAGACCATTCAGGGAAGGCAACAGTAACTACTTGGTTTTAATAGAGATAAAATGTCTCCGTTAAAAAAATTATATTTAAGGGGAAAAGATTTTAAAAGAATATTAAGTAAATAATACTAAAGGTCCGCGGTTCTCATAGTGTGGTCCTTGAACCAGCAGCAACAGCATCAACACACCCTGGAAACTTATTAGAAATGGAAAATCTTGGCCCCACCCCAGACCTTCGCAGGAGAAAACTCTAGGAGTAGAGCAACTAACTGTTTTAACATACCCTACAGGTATCTCTCATGTACACTAAAGTTTGTAAAATACTAGTACAGGTGATAACAGAAGCTACAAAAATCAAAGTAGTAGTATATCATGTCAAAAAAAATAGTAAAATTCATGCAAGTGACACAAATATTTGAAGTTTGAAAATTTTTGTTTTAAAGCAATACTGCTATCATCATCCTACTATTTATTTAAAAAAAAAAAAAAAAAGACCCTTCCTTAAAGAAAAGAAAAAAAATTTGACTATACTATTATAGAACTTGACTATTCTCTTTTTGAAAACTTCCAGCCAAATCACTGTGAAACAACTAACCTTTACTAAACATAGCTTTAGGTCTTAGGGAAGGAATCAATAAATAATGAAAGTGATGGTTTCTATCAACTAGTATGTAAATTTACTTAGCATCACTACAATGGTAAGACTATTCTAAAATAGTCAAAATGCTGATTTTTTGTTTTGTCTTCATAACTTCACCTTAATTTTTTTTATTTCTTTACTACAGCAGTTCTTGGGGACTCCCACAGGCCAAAGATGGGGGGAGAATTGGCAAATTATAGATCATGGGCCGCTGATCAGAAAAGGACGCCTAACGGACAGGAAGAGGGGAAAAGAAGAGGCATTATACACATATTTCGCAATTCTAAAAAGAAAATTCTTCTATAAATTCTTCACATCAAGAATATAGACCAACTTCCAGAATGGCAGCATAAAGACCTATGAAATCTACTCCTCCATAAAAGCAAAGAGAACACTATGAAACCTTGTCAAAATTAACTTTTTCAGAAGCATGGAAATTAACTAAAGGCTTGCAACAATCTGAGGAACATTTACTCAAGAAAAATGGCTCAATCTCACTAAAAACAGCAAGCTTTGTTGTGTTTTAATTTGCCCTAATCCCATCTCCCTCTCCCCAGCTCTGCACTAGTCTTGAAAACCAAGGGACTAGCAACTCATGGTATACAGAAACCATCCTCTCAGCAACCACTAGAACAGATTAGGTTTGGAATTCCCCAAAAGCTCCATCCCCAAACAACTGTCACCATTTGACCTGACAGGCAGCATACTGAAAAGCTCCATTCTCAGAGTTAGTTCATCTCTATTTGATCTGACTCAGGGCTCTCTTTGTGGGAATAGCCCTATCCCCAGGGTGTTTCTTGAAAACAATCACCTGCAACTGTTTAACATAGCGGCAGCCTGAGTGATACTACCAGTTGGGGGCTAACAAAACCAAAAAATTTAAAAAGAAAAACTGGGGAATGGAGGTGCATAGAGGGCTTTGAAAAAGTAGCTCTAACATATTCCTGGGAATCTACAATGCCACATACACAGTCGAGGCTGTGTTCATGCCAAGGAAAGACCTGAGGAGGTCCTAATCTCTCACCTCTGGCTAACCTTCATGCTCTGTGCAAACAAGAAATGAAGTCCACTCCTAGACATATCTTACTCAAACTACTGAAATACAAAGAGGATATCTTGAAAGCACCAAGAGAAAAGTGACTCAGCACACACCAAGGATCCTCAATAAGATTAAAGTTGACTTCTCATCAGAAACCTTGGAGGCCAGAAGGCTGAGGGATGACATATTCAAAATGATGAACAGAAAAAGACTGATCCAAGAAGTCTATATCCAACAAAACTGCCCTTCAAAAATGAAAGAGAAATTAAGACATTCTCAAATAAACAAAACTGAGAGAATCTGTTGCTTTCAGATCTGCCCTAAAAGAAATACTAAAAGGAGTCCTTCAGGATGGAATGAAAGCACACTAGATAGTAATAGGAGGGACTCAATCTTTGGCTCCCTTTTCTTTCCTATCTACATTCACTTGTCAGGTGATCTTATCCAGTCTCACGATTTGCAACCCCACCTAGATGCTGATGGTTCCCAAATTTGTGTCTATATCCCTAACCTATCCTCTCAACACTAGACTCAACTTATCCAACTGCCCATTCTACATCTCCTTTTACATGTCTAATAGGCATTTTAACCTACATGCCCAATATACATCTGCATGGCTCACTCACGTCTTTCAGCTCTCTGCTCAAATGTACCTTCTTCAGAGAAGTCTTCTGTAACCATCCTATGTAAAATAGAACCTCTCCCTCACTCTCCATCCCGTAATCCTTTTTAGTTTTTCTTCATTGCACTCATCACGTCTTATCTAAATTTACATATCTGTTTTAGGTAAGCTCTATTAAAAGCTGAATCCTTATTCATCATTTTACCTTCAGTGCATAGAACATACTTAACAAATATTTATTAAAGCAAGAGGAACGGAATATTGATGAAGGATAGATGTATAAATCGGCTTTACACCAATGCATAATAGAAATAATGAAAAGATACTTACTTTTCCTTTTTCTCTTGTTTGTGAGCTTCTCTCGTAATTTGAGCTGCTTTTCTACTATACGGATGGATGACTTTTTTTTCCCGTCCTACACTTTTTCCCTTTGGTGCTTTAGGCTAAAATGTAGGAAAACACACGACACACATAGTAAGACGCATAAGTGATTTCTGTCCAAGTTTTTCTTTTGAAATACATTTTAAAAACGGTAATATATTGTTACAACCTATTCCACAGAAATACAAAGGATCATAAGAAACTACTAAGAACAATTATATGCCAACAAATTGGACAACTGTAAGAAATGGATAAATTACTAGAGACGTACAAACTACCAAGACTGAATCATGATGAAATAGAAAATCTGAGCAGACCAATTACTAGTTAGGAGATTCTATCAGTAATCAAAAAGCTCCCAACAAAGAAAAGTCCAGGACCAGAAGGCTTCAATGGTGAATTCTACCAAACATTCAAAGAAGAATTAATACTAATCCTTCTCAAACTCTTCCAAAAAATATAAGAGGAGGGAACTCTTCCCAATTCATTTTATGAGGCCAGCATTATCCTGAGACAAAAACCAGACAAGGATGCTACAAGAAAAGAAAATTATAGGCCAATATCCCTAATGAACATGGATGCAAAAATCCTCAACAAAATATTAGCAAATCAAATTCAACAATACATTACAAGGATCATAGACCATGATCAAGTGGGATTTATTCCAAGGATGCAACAATGATTCAACGCCCATAAATCAATCAATGTGATAGATCACATGAAGGATAAAAATCATATGATCACCTCAGTCTATGCAGAAAAAGCATTTGACAAAAGTCAACATCCATTTATGATAAAAACTCTCAACAAAGTGGGTATAGAGGAGAGGTACCTCAACATAATAAAAAGGCCATATATGACAAGCCCACAGCTAACATCATACTCAACAGTGAAAAGCTGAAAGCCTTTCCTCTTAGAACAGGAACAAGACAAAGAAGCCCACTCTCCCCACTTTTATTCAACGTAGTACTGGAATTCCTAGCCAGCAACTAGGCAAGAAAAAGAAATAAAAGGCATCCAAAATGGAAAGGAAGAAGTAAAACTGTCACTATTTGAAGATGACATGATATTATATACAGAAAATCCTAAAGATTCCATCAAAAAACGAATTTAGTAAAATCGCAGGTTAGAAAATCAATATACAAAAGTCTGTTGCATTTCTATGCACTACTAACGAACTATCAGAAAGAGAAATAAAAAATAAATCCCATATAATTACATCAAAAAGAATAAAATACGTAGGAATAAATTTAACCAAGGAGATGAAAGAACTATAAGAAAATACTGAAAACTACAACTATATTGAAAACTACAAGATATTAATGAAAGAAACCAAAGACACAAATAAACGGAAAAATATTCTGTGCTCATGGATTAGAAGAATCAATACTGTTAAAATGTTCATACTACCCAAGGCAATCTACAGATTCAATGCAATACTTATCAAAATTCCAATGGAATTTTTCACAGAAATAGAACAAATCATCCTAAAATTTGTATGGAACCGCAAAAGGTCCCAAACAGCCAAAGCAATTTTGAGAAGGAAGAACAAAGCTGTAGGCATCAAGCTCCCTGAATTCAAACCATATTACAAAACTACAGTAATTAAAACAGTACGGTATTGACATAAAAACAGACACACAGATCAGTGGAACAAAATAGAGAGCCCAGAAATAAACCCATGCGTATACAGTCAATTAATTTACAACGCAGGAGCCAGGAATATACAACGGGGAAAGGACGGTCTCTTCAATAAATGGTGTTGGGAAAACTGGACAGCCACATGCAAATGAATGAAACTTGACCACTATCTTACACCATACACAAAAATTAACTCAAAAATGGATTAAAGACTTGAACATAAGATCCGAAACCATAAAACTCCTAGAAGAAAACATAGGTGGTAACCTCCCTAACACAGGTCTTGGCGATGATTTTTTGAATCTGATACCAAATGCAAAAGCAACAAAAGCAAAAATAAACAAGTGGAACTACATCAAACTAAAAAGCTTCTGCACAGCAAAGGAAACCATCAACAAAATGAAAAGGGAACCAACTGAATGGAACAAAGTATTTGCAAATTATATATCTGATAAGGGGATAATATACAAAATATACAAAGAACTCATACAACTCCACAGGAAAAAAAACAAACAATCCAATTAAAAAATGGGCAGAAGATATGAATAGAAATTTTTCCAAAGAATACAGATGGCCAACAAGTCCATGAAAAGATGCTAAACATTATTAATCATCAGGGAAATGCAAATCAAAACCACAATGAGATATCACCTCACATGTGTTAGAATGGTTATTATCAAAAAAAACAAGAAATAGGGCCAGCCCCAGTGGCCTAGTGGTTAAGTTTGCCACACTCCGCTTCAGTGGCCCAGGTTCGGTTCTCGGGCGTGGACCTACACCACTTGTCTGTCAGTGGCCATGCTGTGGCGGCAGCTCACATACAAAAAGAGGAAGATTGGCAGCGGATGTTAGCTCAGGGTGAATCTTCCTCAGTAAAAAAAAAAGAAATAACAAATGTTGGCAAAGATGTGAAGGGGTCTCTGTGCACTGTTGGTGGGAATGTAAATTGGTGCAACTGCTATGGAAAACAGTACGGAGGTTCCTCAAAAAATTAAAAATAGAACTACCATATGATCCAGCAATCTCACTTTTAGTTATTTATCCAAAGAAAACAAAAACAGTAACTCGAAAAGGTACATGCACCCCCGTGTTCACTGCAGTATTATTTACAATAGCCAAGATATGGAAACAACCTAAGTGTCCACTGATGGATGAATGGATAAAGAAATTGTGGTATGTATACACATACACACACACACACACACACAGGCAAATGGAATACTCTTCAGACACAAAAAAAGAATGTGATCTTGTCATTTGCAACAACATGGATATACCCTGAGAGCATTATGCTAAGTGAAGTAAGGCAGACAGAGAAAGATAAATACTGTATGATGTCTCTCGCATGTGGAATATCTAAAAAAAAAAAAAAGGGGGCCAGCCCGGTGGCGCAAGCAGTTAACTGCGCGTGCTCCGCTGCGGCGGCCCAGGGTTCACCGGTTCGGATCCCGGGCGCGCACCAACGCACTGCT